GACTCTTTCATTTACGAAAAGTGTGTTCATTTTGGGCGGAATGCAATAAATAATGGAAAAGCTGACAGGATCTCTTTCTAAATTTAGCTTTTCCGCTGCCGAGGCCTCCTTTTACGGAATACTCGATGACAGGTGATCTCTGAGTTGACCGGTTTCCTTCGATTCATTTGCTTATGCTCACACTTTCATTTACGGAAACGTGTGCTGATTTTATTCGGATTTAGATCCATTTTATCTCTTTTGCCTTGCCCTGCTATACAGTGTGCGAAGAACGCGAGTTCACCTTCTTGACGGTAAGGCTTATATTATATGTGTTGTCGAAATACTCATATTCATTGTACATTTGTACGTTACAAGTAAGGCACTGGTCAGTGGCATACAATCGTTGGCAGTTCCCAATCTGGAGGGATAGGTTCAAGGACCCATTGACCGAGTTTGCAAAATAAATTCGCATATCAGGGAAAATCTCCATTGTGGAGAGGTCAGTAAACTTGTTTGCTTCATACGAAACAAGTCAAAGGGTGCAGTCTCGTCTCTTGAAGATCTCGTACTTGTATGATTGGATTTGTTTACTCGAGTCTGGGCTGTTTGATTTATTATTTGTGAGTTCCGCCGAGATTGCACTGCCCCAAATGAAGTTTCGTGCCGCCAAAGCAAGAATTACAATCTGCAATCTGTTTGTAGTACCTGCAAGAATGTGCTGTACATGTATCGTACTTTCTCTGTTGCTGTTTCAGTTGCCGTCATGTTGCTGAAGAAACGTTCAGTAGAGAGGTTCTGCAAAACGAAAATTCGAACGAAGTTTCGCGACAGTCCTTGCGAAAGTGTGTACGAATTTTTGCACGAACTTTGCGTTCTGCACATTTTCGTAGTTTGCGCGGGCCAAGTGCACGTACGCCATGACCCGATCTCACGAAAGTGTGTACGACTGTTCATTTCGCGTTCCCTGCAAGTTTCGCGTCCAAAGTTGCGAAAGTTCGTGCGAAGTTTCGCGCTTCATGACGTGGAACGAAAGTTTGTACGCATTTTCGTTTTGCAGAACCTCTCTAGTGTTTCATACGAGACGAGTCAATGAGTTGGTGTGGCTTAGAATCTTTCACTGTAGAAGAAATCTATTCGTATGTCTATTGGAGAAATAATTGTATTCACTGGTTATAAAATAGGTTAAAACAAACTCACAGAATAAATACCATCGGTCCCTTGGTGTTCGTCCTAAAGAGGTTCGACTGGATATCATTCATACTCACCAAAAGATGTGTAAGGTTTTATTATTATGGAGTGCCTTGTTTATCTCTCAGTACCTCCAACCATAGCCTTGCCCCTTTTATCCCCAGGATCAGTGTAGTTGTTGGAACGAGGTGTCGGACTCAGCAATGTATTTGTTTACATTTTAATACATGTTTATTGTTCCTCCTTTGCTGTGTTGTTTTAGAAAATCGTGGACTAACAGTTTGAAGTCAATGAACTACTTCCAAAAGTTGTATCGACATCAACAGGGTTACGATTTCAGTGCAATATGATGCAGGATGACCTTATCACAATAACCCATGATTATAAACCATTATAAACACAGGATCAACAAAAACATCTGCGACACGCACCTGGTTACATTTCTCAAATAAATCTGATCGAGGGTGGGGAAATCTGAAATATCTGAAAGGCAAGACAATTTTATGACTGAGTCATGAAATTCTGCTACAGCAACATGCATAGAATGACCTCCGTATACAAAAAGTATCACCACGGTCCACCACTACTCACATGTTTCCCCGCAGAAGAACATGCTAGTGCCATTTTCTGCAAGAAAAGGCTTGCACATCAATGCGTATAATACGGTATTGATATGATGTGAAGGCCATCATTTTATATTATATTGATATACATGTAGTAGGGCATTCCATTGATTGGTGACAGAAAAAAACAAAAGAAATTATAGCAATAAAAACTGCTTTATGGCAGTTTTCTAAAAAAAGTTCTTGTGTTCTAGTCCACGGATCCCGTCTAAAAAGTAAGAAATTAACGAAATGTGATAGCTGAAAATTAAAATTTCACACAAAACCTCACAATAATCACAGTTATCACACCCAGAATGAAAAGCTACATCTAGAAGACCTTTTCCCCTCGTGATCCTCTTTCCTATGCATGCATGTTGCCAATTGTTGGTGCAGTACAAGTTTAGTGTTGAAAGCAGCATTTCAAGTGTTGTGATTATTGTGAGGTTTTGTGTGAAATTTTAATTTTCAGCTATCACATTTCGTTAATTTCTTACTTTTTAGACGGGGTCCGTGGACTAGAACACAAGAACTTTTTTTAGAAAACTGCCATAAAGCAGTTTTTATTGCTATAATTATTATGCGCTGCTGCGCAGCTGCTGCTGGCCTGGTCGCATCGGATCAACATGATTAATTTTGTGCACTGCATGCAACGACTTACGTTCTGTACGCGATGAGGGCGCCGGCCCCGGTCAATCGACTGGATTTCCATGTCCGCTACAGACTGTAGCGGACATGGAAATCCAGTCGATACTGTACTACAGTAGTACTACTATGGTATATACAGAAGCCTTGCTTGGTAGTTTATTAAAGGGGAAGTATACCCTAAAATCAAATTTTCACCAGTTGTAGTCTTTGGGGTGCTGAGTCGAATGGTCTTGGTCCGAGGAAGCTGCGACGCTGCCTTCCTACTTGAATCCCAATCGAACTCGCGCACTTCCACCGAAACTGGGTGACTGCGCCCTACTAGATGGGGATTTGTATGCAAAATGTCACTAAAAGCGCCATTTCGTTCTTATAAAAGCACGGATGACCGCGATTGGCCCATATGTTGTAGTCTTTTGGACGCTGAGTCGACTGGTTTTGGTCCGAAAAGGCTGCGATGCAGCGTTCCTCCTTTATTCCCAATCGAACATGGTTGAACAAGCGGTCACGTGCTCCTGGGTGCCCAAATCACCTGGTCACCGCGCCAGCAGGCGACAACTTTCACACCAAGGTTCAACTCGAGTTCAACTCGAGTGACAGGACTGCACCCAAAAAAGGTCAAACAGGCTAGTAAGTTGTACCCTGCAGGCACGGTGACCAGGTGACTGGTGTACGCAGGAGCACGTGACCGCTTCTTCAACCATGTTCGATTGGGAATAAAGGAGGAACGCTGCATCGCAGCCTTTTCGGACCAAAACCAGTCGAGTCAGCGTCCAAAAGACTACAACATATGGGCCAATCGCGGTCATCCGTGCTTTTATAAGAACGAAATGGCGCTTTTAGTGACATTTTGCATACAAATCCCCTTCTAGTAGGGCGCAGTCACCCAGTTTCGGTGGAAGTGCGCGAGTTCGATTGGGATTCAAGTAGGAAGGGAGCGTCGTAGCTTCCTCGGACCAAGACCATTCGACTCAGCACCCAGAAGACTACAACTGGTGAAAATTTGATTTTAGGGTATACTTCCCCTTTAACATGTTTTTCGATTTTGACAGCAAGTTACATGGCGAGGACGCGTAGTGCTCCTGACTACAACCATAAGTTTACATAACCCGGTTGGCAGAGTTGGGTTTTCCCAATACGGTTCAAATGGTCGCAAGACCGGGACTCTGCCAACTGGGTTATGGTTGTAGTCAGGAGCACTACGCGTCCTCGCCTTGTAACATGCTGTCAAAATCGAAAAACAGTATTCCCGTGTGTCACGTGATTGTCGCCTTGGAGTTGACCAATGACAGATGAAACAGCGCGGGCTGGAAAGCGCGGTCCTGCCTGCTCAAAAGTGATGGAACTGAATTAGGCCTTGGCGGATAATGCTCGAAAAGGTGACAGATTCTGCTTTTTTGCACCGAAATTGGCAGAACAATACAAACCTTATGGCGGGCAATTCCTCGAATTCTGCTCCATTTCTTTATCCACATACCAAACATGCATGAAACTTACCAGAAAAAGTACCGAATTCTGCCAATTTTTCTGCCGGCATTATCCGCCAAGGCCTAAACTGAATCACTGCCCGTCGTCAAGTGACGACGGGCAGGAACGGATGCGCGCGGAACGGATTCCACTGCCCGTCGTCAAGTAACGACGGGCAGGAACGGATTCAGGAACGGAATCCACTGCGTTCATTGGCTCGAACTTGGCGCGTGTTTCGTACATACAAGGACAACTGAAACGAAAGTGAAAGAGCGACTATGACTTACGAGTAAGTTTTCGACCACAACTAGCTAAACTGTCATCATGGCGCATCCAACCTACGTTCCAGAACTGTTCGGGCAATGTATCCATTGTGTTCAACATGACATGCTAGTACCGTACTAGTACTGTAGTAGTAACATATTTCTCTACGTGAGTACGTTCTCTGCAGCTATTTTCTTGTTGCAAATTTGGTCCGTTTCTTTCTTTCTGTTACACAATGTCATATGCGTGACAGCTCGGACAATCCCTATTTTTAGTTTCATCCTATTGTGATGCTACGGAACCAGAATTTTAGTTTTTTGTGATGCGTGAGAACCCCGTGAGAGATCGGTACAGAGTACAGTAGAGTGATTATGGATATACGGGACCAAAAAGCATTTGGCTTGGGTGCACACGGGAAACACGTTCCAGTCACTCATACTCGGCCAGTACCGCTGTTCATCCAGCCCTTGCCGCTATCGCGGCGCGGGCTGGATTCCGCGGTACTGCCCTTGTACTCGTGCAGGAACCTGTACGTACTACTACTAGTAGGTCTACATGTACGGTCTAGGGATTGAGTTGAATGTTTTACACAACCTACGTCCTTGTTAAATTTTGACTTCATCGTCCAGTTTCATCCCTTGTAATTCTTTGGATTTCTAACTTTTTTCCATGTCGTACTGTTTGAATAAACTCGTTTTGAGTAGATCTACTACACGTAGATCTGTAGATTTACTCGTCATACCGGCGGTAGTACTAGTAGTAGTAGTCTGTTTTCTAGCTAAACTGACTCGATCACTGCCCTAATTACGGAGCATGTGACAATCAGACATTACATGTAGACCTGCTAGTGGTAGTAGTAAATTGTGTTTGTTTGGTAGATCTACTCAGCGTGAAGTACTGCAGAGCAGCAGCGAACTGGTACACTTTCATGAATGTTCTTATTTTAATTCAAGGAGTAATCGCCGGATCTGACCGCGGAGCTGGGCCGGCGAAGAAATGCCACGTACTAGTACAATGTGATAATTATATCTCCAGCCGTTTAGCGAACTGTGGGTTCCTTCGTGTGCAGCAACTCCCCCGCTAGGTCTGGGTCTGCCCGCGCGGCTCCATTTTAAGACTAGTGTGCTTGGAGACGGCACTGCAGGACTCGCAGTGAGAGATGGAGCAGGGCTTCCACCCGGACTGGCATAGTCCAGAGGTGGACATCGACGGAAAATTGGCTTGGATTACAGGTAAGATGGAACACAATCATTATGACTATAATTATACCGTATTTTCCCCATAAATGTACCGTACTTTTATTTTTTCAAAGGTGGTCAGACCTATAGCCTGGACCACTATAACCTGTACAACAATAGGAGAGACCAGGGAGTCGTAAAAGCCCGGCAGAGGACACGGGATGCGCACACGCGGGCGATGTTTGACTCAGCCAGAAAGTGAAGCACGCTAGGCCGGCGCGGGCGGATCTGCTCGATCCACGGTGCTGTGCTCGTCTTGAGGGCAGGGAGTACTAAAATACCAATATTTTACAACTCCTGGTTGAGCCTACATGCATATCCAAAACTGGTGGCGAAGGAAGCATAAACAAGTGATTGAAGTGTGTCTGTCTGTCAGACTCAGTACAGGGGATGGGGAGTTGAGTGTGTGTGTGTGTGTGGGGGGGGGGGGGGGGGTATGTGCACATGTGCTAGTACTTTTGTGTGTGTTTGTACAGTGTTTGTGTGTGTGTGTGTGTGTGTGTGTGTGTGTGTGCGCGTGTGTGCGTGTGCGTCACAAGTTTCGTGCACAATTCCGTTATGAAGTACAAAAATAATGATAGGTTTACCTTTTGTACTTCCTCCGCGTCATTAAAATTGTCGCTTTCCAGAGCGATTCTTCGAATTTATTTTTTCCACTCGAAGGGCAAATAAATCAGCTAGAAATTGAGGCAGAGCATTGTCGACGGACCAAGCTTTAGTTTGTGGCCCGCCACTTCGCTTCACTTGCAGCAAAGGTCGACGTCTTCATCAGAGTTTGAGGCAGGCCCTTCGGCACTCAACACACTGAACAAGACGCGCGTTCAAATTCAGGTAAAGAAACTTCGTTTTCAAGCAATTTGAGAACACTTTGTTCTTGCCACCGTCAACTTCAGCATTTCGTATTTAGGAGAGATACCAGGATTCTTATATCCGAGCTTGCAGTCTTGATAAATGCCCAAGGAGCGATGTGGGACGGCACGAACTCCAGAAAAACAATATTGCGCTCTGGCGCGGAATAGTGCGGAGCGCGATGAATTTTCTTGGTGCGGAAGAGAGCTCCGACAAAGTCCGAGACCACCACGGCTTCAGTAACAAGTAGACATTGCGCAGGAAGGGTCGCACCAATGTTCGAACACAGAAAACAGCGATTGCGACAGTCTGACTAAGACGAGCCAAGTCACAAACATTGCGATGTGCGAAGCGACAATTTTAATGACGCGGAGGAAGTACACTCGCCGAGACTTCGGTTAGATTCACAGAGAACTTTTCTGGCCGATCTGGAGGCTGAGCCTTCCGTTTCCTAAAGTACTCAGTATACGAGTAGAAAAGCCTAGTGTCGAAATTATCAAGATTTATAAATAACGAACTGCAACCATGTACTATGTAAATAGATAGGGAACACATAGTGATTGTTTTTAAAAGAATCCTGGCAATATCATGAATCATGGAACGAGTGCGTAATAATGCTCTATGTTGCGTTTTGACGATGACGAGGGAGCCGTTGCGGTTCACTCACAACACACGCACAGAAGTCCACTCGACTGCAATCTTAGTGCAATTTCTGACACAAATTCAACTCCACAAGTACGAGGAAGCTCAGCGGATCTCCGCAAGAACTTTCACCCATCACCTGCAATGGAATATGGGCTGTATGATACGACCAGCGGCTAACACGGGAAGTGGCTTCATTTTCCACGAATCTCGCTTCATTCACAACCATTTGACTGCAATTTCAGTGCAATTTCTGCCACAAATTCAAATCCACGAGTACGAGGAAGCTCAGCGGATCTCCACAAGAACTTTCACCCATCACCTGCAATGGAATATAGGCTGTATGATACGACCAGCGGCTAACACGGGAAGTGGCTTCATTTTCCACAAATCTCGATTCATTCACAACCATTTGACTGCAATTTCAGTGCAATTCCTGCCACAAATTCAACTCCACGAGTACGAGGAAGCTTAGCGGATCTCAACAAGAACTTTCACCCTTCACCTGCAGTGGAATATGGGCTGTATGATGCGACCAGCGTCTTACACGGGAAGTGGCGTAATTTTCCACAAATCTCGTTTCGTTCACCCCAACTCAAATAAAATTGCAGTACAATTAGGGATTTATCTTGCATTTCCATCGCCTCACAAGAAATTTACTTCGATAAATGAGAGAGAATGAGTGAGGCAGCTGGAAGAATTGAGGATGAAAAAAGAGATCAGAAGACTCGACGAAGCAATCGTCTCCGTGCTCTAAGAGAAATCGGAGAATGTCCCAATTAGTATTTCAAGAAGACATAACAATTCTCGAAAATAACAATTTCCTGGCCTCACAACACGCGTTCTCTAGGCCCTGGCAGCGTTCCCCGGCAGCGCGAGTCAAAGATGTTTTCTGGGAATGTGTGCCGTGTCCTCTCCCGGGCTTTTACGTCTCCCTGGGAGAGACTCTACTACTGTCGTGGACATGGAAATCCGTTCGATTGACCGGGGCCGGCGCCCTCAGCGCGTACAGAACGCTGCGTGCAGGGCACATGTTGATCCCATGCGACTAGCGCGCTGCAGCGTATACAATGCATGTGTGGACTCGTACCGCTTACTCACGGCTGCATGGCCAGCACCCTGGGGCCGCTTGACGTGCGACCGGATTTCCCATGTCCACAACAGTAGTATTGGAGACGTGTACTTTTATTGTTTCTGGAAAGATTGATTGTCTGGGTTGGGTGGCAAGCAACTCATGATAATGATACTGTAAGGCTGTAAATGCATCCCACCATGGTAAAGATCAGTGTACAAAGACACAAAGATGATGAACGGGTAAGAAAAACGAAGTAAGGTAGACCCTGGTACCTGTATCCCAGTAATGCCCATCACATCATTCCGGCATGTACTATTATTAGAGACGTGTCCTTTTATATTTTTGATCCACACTCAACATGTACTACAATTGGAGACGTTCTAGTATTGGAGACGTGCGAGTTTTAAACGTACAGCGAGAAGGCCTTTCACATTTGAGAACTTGTGGTTTTATAACACAGGGATAACAGCAGCCATCTTTGAGCAATATCGGAAATTTGGCAAAGTCCGGTGATATTTTGGTCGTTACAGCTGTCGACTCTTAAAGATGGCATGAAATTGATTCAAATTGTCACGAATAGTGTACATATATGCAGGTGTACAGACACGATAAGTTATGAAACTGCCAAAACTCGGTAAAAATGCGAACTTAAACTCGAAAAGCACCAGCGTAGCCTTTACACAAACGGTTAACCTCTTTAGCACGACGCTACCTGAGTGCGCCCCACGTCAACACCTGTAAAAGTCGCATTTTCCCATGAAAGTACTAGCTGCTCAAGGATCGATAACTTTACCTTCCCTTGGACGAATTCCACGATCTTGAGCTTCCTGGAAAGGTCTGGAGACGAGGGACAAACTGGTGTCAAACCCAGCTCGGAGCGAAACCCAAACCCCGTGCTACAGTCTGGCAAACTTCATCCACGCGCTCGACAGACTTGAGCACGGCCAAGACTAACCGAGGTCAAATATTCAGTTGCCATTTCGGTCTCCTTGCTCGTATCGAGCTCAAATTTTTGTGAGGACTCACGGGATCCACTACCATCATTTGAATCTTGTTTCCATGGCAGCAGGTAGCGCACAAATGATCCATGATGGAAAATACGCGTTCTGCAGAGCACGCAAAAAAATCGAGTTGAAATTTGCCGTGTCGAGTCGCATATCTCAACAACCGGTAGTCGCATCGCTTCGGCGATTGTTTCTATCGCCAGCTGGGAGTTTTCTCTTGCAGATACATGTTTCGATTGTGAGAATCGACCAAGTATTGAGTGAGTAACGATAGTTTGAACAAGTCACTATGGACTCAACACGGACCCCACGACTATGAGATGCAGGTTCACTGTACAGTGTACAGCGCGCGTCGTACTAGTACGACGGCCGTGGGGCATGCAACTCATGTGCGTCGTACTAGTACGACGCTCGCGCTAAAGCCAAAAAAGGGGTTAAAGGGAAGGAATACGAGAAAATCAAACCTTTTAACACCCTTTCAGCCTGAACCACGAGTTAACTCGTAAGCACAAGTTAACTCGTGTGCGACTGTGCATGTTTGTGCAGTGCATACACATCATTGTTCAAATTGTCATAACACCATTGTCCTTTCTCCGATCGCCAAGAATGAGGGCTCATTGGAAAGCTTAGAGAGTAAGCTTTCCAACGATGTGTCGTTTGATATAGCGCGATGAAGAATCACTGAGCGCCGAAGAGCGAAACACAGATACCTTGATTTGGTTTCTAATTGCGTGCGTGGCGTGCACAGCAGTGTTTGTACGGGACTTCCCCTGTGACTCATGGTTGCATAGCGCATGGGTACTGGAGACCAAATGAATCGCTTGAGCTTCAGTAATCTGCAGGACTTTGAATCACCATTCTACGTTGAGGAAAACTTCAGAACCAATGACATTTTTGGATGTGGGTACAGTATCTCGCTCAGGCGCAATAGGGTAGCTCTCAAAAGACATGAAGGTGATTCTGTTGCTCCTGTTGAGTATATTGTGGCGATATCTGAAGAGAGGAGATCTGTAGCTTTCCAAAGAGACCAAGATGGAGATATTCCAAATCTGGTGAGTGAAAATAGATAATTTTGAAATGCATATTGGGACTGTTACCTCTGCGTGAACCCTGTAGGAATCCATGGATGCCATGGTAGGGCTCAAAGGGTTACCCAGTTGTAGTTTTCGGGGTGCTGAGTCGAATGGTCTTGGTCCGAGGAAGCTGAGACGCTCCCTTCCTCCCTTATTCCCAATCGAACTCGCGCACTTCCACCGAAACTGGGTGACTGCGCCCT